AAAAACAAAGTATGAAGGCTGAATCAGCATCCATGCAATAATAATAATAAAGACCTGGAAAACATTGTATGGATGCTGATTCAGCATCCATATAATAATAATAAATAATAGGATAACATAGCATGGATGCTGAATCAGCATCCATACAATAATAATAATAAATAATAAGATAATGTAGTGGCTAAAAATAAACAAAATTTCAGAGGTAACAGTATGTAGTTCATATTTAGATATTATTTGTGATAGTTGTGTAAGGATGTAAGGCTGAGCTAAGTCTGTACGGAAGCTTGATCTGTTTCTGGCCCAGGCAAGAATATCTTGGGCTGTGTCCCCCTTGTATGGGTCAACATCCCGAGTGACTTCCTCCTCAGATAGGGAATGGATATACTGTAGCTGCAGCCTTATGTGAACTGTTCATGTGCTCTGTTCAGGTTTAGAAAAAGGAAATGTGCACTAGGCCAATGCGACCTAGAAGTTCAGACAATGTTCGGAAGAAGGTGTGTGTGGGTAGCTGGCATGGGACTGCGTCTTCATGGCTCAGGCCATGGAGGGCTGTGTGAGTACGAGCAGATAAAAAGCTGGGTTAGAGCAGAGGAAGGGAAGAGAGGATGACAGTGCTACTGTGACAGGGAGAGTATATTTTGTGGGGAACCCAGCCGGCTGGGGGGATGCTGAATTAAGACTGACAACTGACTGTGGGTTGACAAAGACTGACTCGTGACCAACAACAACTGGCTGGACTGACGCTTTTGACAATCTTCTTATTTAATGCTTTATCTATCACATTGCAGGAGGAGAGTCTCTGTTCTCTGTTTCCCTAACTACAAGATTATCTGTTTAAATATTACTCTATTCAGAATAATTGTAATATTAAATGATCCTTTAAATTGGGATGGTTTGTCTGAATTAATTTAGTCAGCATCACACTCTAGCCACGACAATAACAGTATGGATGCTGAATCAGCATCCATACTATGTTATCCAATTATTGTATGGATGCTGGGGACCTTCTCTACACAGTCACTGTCACTGAGGGGTCCGGTGTTATGTAGAGATCTGTTCCCCCATCAAGATGTTTCCCCTGCATGTCTTGACAGGGGAAGAGATTAATGCCTAACCTGAACTCCTGCCTTATCCTAACCATAACCACTGAGGGGGCGCTACTAGAAACACAGCCTTAGCAGGGGGAAACATCTCAATGGGGAAAAGACTGACAAGTCCAGCAGTGCATGGTGCATTTAGGTGACACAACCTGACTGAATGCTTTAACATACAAATACAGTATAATAGAAACACACCAAATGTTAATTTAAAGAAATCCAGGAGCCTCATTTATCAAAGCATATTTAGAGCAAGCTCTAAATGTGTGTGTAGGAACAGCTTTAATAAACCTCACCCCAGCTGTTCTTGCACACATGCACAAAACCCCCTCCAAAACACATAAATAAGGAGGGGGGAATAACACTAGAGAACACAGTGAGACATATCTGCTTGGTACAATAACGCTGGACAAAGATGTATGCTTCAAGTTTTTAATATGTTTTATTTGGATCACATAAAATAGCTTATGGTCCAGGGATCTTATTTGTTGCAGCTGTCCCAGTTGCAGCAGCTGACCTTCAGACCCTGAGTGAGTCCTAGCTTCAGACATTCAGTCATCTTAAAGCAGGATTTGTGGAAAGTGTTCTCTGCAGAGAGATTATTTTAGATTTAGATATACATTCTTTCAAAATGAACTCAAGCAAACTCAAACCAAGAGTTTGTAAGATTAACATAAAATTAATACAGTTCTAATGCCATGATAATGTGCCAACAGTGCTCACCATAAGGGGCAGGGTAGGTAATTTTGGCACAGGCGTCCAACTCTGGAGGACATTGCCCCACAGTCTCCACACAGTTTCCACTGTCAGGAGCCTCCCGGACACAGTTCTGACACTGCAGGGCCTCACCTTCTGCACACGGAGACAAAAGCCAAAAGTGTTTGAACACTGTACATACAGCATAGACTTTGCTGGCAAATTCAGTGACCTTCTCAGTCAGCACACAGTTAACATGATCTTGTACATGAATCATTCAATAACTCAGGATTTACCGTAGGTGACAGCCACCAGGAGCAGGAGAGCAAAAACAAAGACCTTCATTTTGTTTCTTCGGATGTCTGCAGGAAAAATTAAATCAAGTCAGTAATACAGTAAATAAAGTAATATTCAGACATGCGAGTGATACGTACCTTCGTAACCTGCGCAGTTAGCTGTGCACCTCTCTTCCACCCATTCTCTCCTTTTATGCCACTCCGTCAGCCTGGCACATGACTGATAAATGCTCACTGCTGTGGGAAAGCACCCAGATTGTAGAACTTCTGAGGTCACACACGTGGAACAAAATGTTTGATGATCTCCTGGAAAATTTTCAAGTGGAATTTGTTTCTTGCCAACCAGAGCGTTGTGGTGGAAAAGTAAACTGAAGTTAAATTTAGTATAATTTTTCAGCAGAAAACACCTTTAGAACTGTCTTTTTGGATTGCGGTCCTTTATCAAGAATACAGGTTCCCAGATAATCCGGTTAAATCAGATACTTAACGCACTTTCACACTATTTGCCCATCCATGCACACACACCTGTGAACAGCCACCAGGAGCATCTTGGGGCACAGTGTCGTGCTCAAGGACACATTGACACGTGGAGTGGAGAGGCTGGGAATTGCTGACCCTTGGTTAAAAGAAGACCCACTGTACCTCATGAAATAGATGTCTAATGATGAACTCATCAAATGCTGAACGACATGGTGAACAGGTAGATTCAAGTTTGGTATTTTTTGAGTTTCATAGATCATTTGGGTGTTAATATCAGCTTAAAATTCCCTGTCAGTTCCTGTAGTTGGCACCAACCTTGTGACATTTAGATTAGAAAGCCAAATGTATCTGGAGTCTTTTTTCCCATGGATCAACCAATGAAAGAGAGACTGGCTCGAGCTCAAACTGTTGTCACTATACATTTTTAAAAATCCTTATTTATTCAGTGTAGACTCAGAGAAGCCACCTGTGTTTTTCACATTCACACCTAGAAGCTGCTCAGTACAACCACCATCTACCACTGAGCAGTTCCACTGGTTCAGTGTGGGGTTAAGGGCCTTGCTCAATGGAACCACAGTGGTGTTAATGAGGGTGGGAGAAGCGCTGTTGTGTCAGACTTCAGTCTGGGGATTGAACCGGGGACTTTCCAGTCACAAGCTTGCTTCTCTAGATTTTAGGCCCCAGTGCTCACGTCTAGCTCTACTTGATGTAATGGAATATTTTTACTGTGGTATTTCTTTCATACAGTTAAAGAGCACTGGGGTTTACATGTCACAGGTTTTTAACCATTTCACTCTGAGTGTTTATACTCAATTTTCAGCTTGTAGCATTATTTGTTAACAACAAATATCTAAAACAGATATTTACATTATAATACACTGACTTGACTGTATTACATTTACTAGGGATTATTTCCTAGAAGTATTAATCTACACAGTGGTGATTTTTTTCCCCAATTTATCGGTAATTGTAAGAATTTGGTGGTAAAGCGTCTACGGACAGGAGCAATCTTGCATATTGAACAGGTGTCAGTTTTGCCCGGTGGCACCTTCCTCTCTTCTTTGCCTCGCACTAGCCAGCTCCCTTGCACTGATTACACGATTAGACACACCTGCCTCTATTCACTGATTCTCACCAGCTGTGCCTCGTCAGTCTCCCTCCTTATTTATACGCTGCTCACCGATCACTCCCCTGCTAGTTCTTTCTTTGTCTTCAGGCCTCCCCATGTATGTTACCGTTGTTGTTTCTTCTCTGTTTCTTTTCTGCACTTACCCGAGTTCCTGTCCTGCCCCGCCGTCTCTGGCTTCCCTCCGCATCGGACCTCTTCTCTGGACCCTGGTTACCCTCAGCTCCACCAGCCACCGCCTTCACAGGTCGATGCACAGTCTCCAGTAATCTGTCTCTCTGATATTCCCTCCTGAGCCATCCTCATCTCCTACCCGACCAGTCCAGGAGTGACTCCTATACCCGCAGCCCGGCCCATCATCACTCCATTGACTGCCACTCCTGCCACCACTGATCGACACCCGGTCTTTTGTCCACTCTACCATTCATGTAAATATTGTCGCACTGATTGGCACTGTAAATAAATTCCACTACTTGCACCGAAGCCAGCCGCCTGGGTCTGTTTTCTCCGCTCGCTCATTTGTGTGTCGAGCGTTTCTAACAACAGGTGTGACAGACCTCACCAGTACAAACAAATCACATACAAAATACCCCTGCTAAAATTTACATACACAACATACAAAGGCTACTACTAAAACAGGTAAATTAAATGCTTAAACTCAAAAAATACCAAACTTGATAACCTCCTTTTAGGGACTTTTTCATGAGACTTGTTTTATTAAACCAGAGCTGTGATCTTTGTTCATGTTTGTTTATGACTGAGATTGAACTATGATTTTAAAGGACACAACAGAAAATGTCATCTCCCTTCTCTCTCTTCTTCCCTCCACCATTATCTCACTCTATGTGTGTCTTCAACCAGGTCAAGATGCAACACAGTGTTAAATAACCACCAGAAACTCTGCCTGACCACCCTGGAGGGTCTGAGTATTAACCTGTAGCCAGACCACCCTGACTGAGACCTCCTCTGATAAAACCTGCTACCTCCCTTTGAGACTGACTCTATTTTCTCAAACACCTCTCAGACCTGGTCTCCATCTCCCATCTCTCTGTTGTTAAATACATGGTACTGGCCGCTACATCTCCGCAGTAGCTGCCGCAGGTTCTTGTCCTCTCTGATGAACTGATCCACATCAGTGTCTTCCAGCTGGTCTCCATAGGTGAACAGCACCATGGTGTGTTCAGATACATCAGGACTCAGCAGCTTCTGCAGAGTCTGCAGCCCCTTCTGTTCCTGTTCAATGAATCTCCCGAGCTGGATGGTCAGAAGGAAGGCGTGAGGCCCTGGAGGGCTCAGATCTACAGCCCTGACCAGCTGTGCCTTCACCTCCTCCTCAGACAGCTGGGTGCTGAAGAGCTCAGGGGTGTCGACCACAGAGACTCTGAGACCCTGAACATCATCTCCTCTCCTCTCGCTGCTCAGAGTCAGAGGTGTGGAACTGATCCTACTGTCAAACAGCT